TACTTGGCATATTTTAAGAGTACAGGCATTACTTCCCATTGATTTTGCAAGGCGTGTGATATTTTGTCAGTGGTATCTTCAAAAATTACACAAAATCCGCAATTTGAATCAATGATTCTGTTCCACAATAATCATTAGTGGGCAGAAGAAAATCCCTATGCCGTAACCGAAACCCAATTTGCGGTTAACTTATGGGCAGGAATTATTGGCAACCACTTTATTGGCAAAAAACTATTGGCGTACCATTTTGTTTCTTAAAATATGTCAAAACCCGTACGCACGCCACTGTTAAAGCTAAAAATTATTTTTGCATTCTAAAATATGCAAATTTATTAACTTTCACTACGTACTAAATATCAGAGAAATATCTGAGGCGGTTCTGAAAATATCAATTAATTTCCATTTTTTTTTTCGTAAAACTTCAACACCCCGAGTTTTTGTAAGGAAACATTTTTGGAGTTTTTAAAGCAAACTAACATTAATTCTTCATATAGATTCACACCCTTAAATATTCGCATATCATTAAGGAACACCCTGTATATGTCATACATGGACATTACCAAAACATGCAAAAATATTTCCAAAAAATAGAATTTCACAGGTAGGCCTTGGAATCATTAGACAGTGATTTGTTTCATGTACCGATTTATCGCAAAATCGTTGTTTATTTCTTGGTTTTATTTGAATGGAATTAAAATTGGACATTATATATATATATATAACTTGAGACGTGGTCATTGTCGTCTAGACCAGTTAGGTGAAAAATTAAAGCTTCCGCGTTTTGTTGGGTACTTCGACAAAATTTAAGCAAAGAGGACTCTTTATACTTTTTTTAATTCTCTCTAGTTTTCAATGGACTTTGCCATCATCACCAGGAGCTGCAATTACAATGATAACAGTAGCAACAAAAGTGTAAAATGAATTTAAATTGAATCAACTTATGTATGTATGTGAGGATGTTGCTAATTGTTGTTTTCGTATAGGATGAGGGAAACGTCCAGTAACATGGTGAGAGCTGGATACATGGTACAATGGTTAAAATTATATAAAATATGACAAGACAAGTTAAAGACATTAAAAATTATTTACAAAACATTAGAGCATTACGTCGTGAAGCCACTTGATGATTGCACAAAATGGTGGTCATGGAATAATGAGTGAGATGAACCTTTGACAGAAGGCCGAAGGTTGTCAATGTCTGTGTTGAAAGATAGAACGAATTGTGGGCGTGTGCCAAAACGTTGCTAAATCACTTCAGATGATGTGATTTTCAGAATGTTATGTAAGAAATTGTTAAACCGACCAGAGGCAGTTGAATAAACTATATTTTAATTAATGGGAATTTTAGATTAACAATTATTAATAAATCGTGAGAAGAGAATTATTAGATTTTGAGTGGAATGAAATTTGTTGGTGGAATCGGCCAAAACACAATGATGACCCATCATATCATGAAATTAATAGAGATCCCACACCTAAAGTTGAAAAGAAAAGTAATGACATTGTTAAGGAACTTCTCAGCACTGAACAAATAACCCAAGAACAAAAAAGAACTTTGACCACTTATAACTCTGTCCCTCCCAAATTCTATGCACTTCCGAAATTCACAAACCCGTACTCTCAGTAAGACCTATAGTTGCATCAATAGGTTCAGCCACCCAGGCTTTGTCTTCATTAATATCGACAACACTAAAATCAGCACATGCAGATAATGATTACTACATCAAAGACTCATTTGAGGTCTCTCGTCAGTTCAACAGATTGACAATACCAGCCGATCATATTATCGCCAGTCTTGATGTGGTGTCGCTATTCAGCAATATCTATCTGGATGCATGTACAAGAACTATTAATAAACACTGGAATAAGATCAGTCAACACTGCAACATATCTCTAGAATCTTTCACCAACATTATAACATTCCTTTTTCATAACAATTATTTCTCTTTCAACAACAAAATATATTCCCAAACACATGGTTGTAATATGGGATCTGTTCTATCACCAATTTTGGCAGAATATGTCATGGATGATCTGCTTGACACTGTTATTCCGACACTACCCTATAACCTCTTCTTCATAAAAAAATGCGTAGATGACATTATTTTATGCCTCCCCTCCATAGGTCTGGATGGTATTGTCAGAGAATTCAACAGCTATGACCCCTACATCCAATTTACCATTGAAAAAGAAGATGAGAACCTGTCTGTCCCCTTTCTAGACACAAGACTCATCCACACCAACAACAACAATTTATTGGTAGACTGGTACCAGAAACCTATGGCCTCAGGTCGGTTTCTCAATTTTAGGTCATACCATAAGCTAGGGATTAAAATCAATTTGGTAAAACAGATGAAAACAAGGGTAATCAGCATATCCGATAATACTTTCCACACCTCAAATTTACATAAACTATCAAAACTGTTCATCAATAATGGTTATCCGAAGTGTCTGATTAACAAGATCTTATTTAGTTCACCTTCCAATATTTTGCCGAACTCTAGTGATGCAGGTAATAGTCACACAACCCCTAATAATAACGGAACTGATGTAATTCCCAATAATAGCATCAATCCAAACAGTACAAGCACCAACCCAGACTCCAGACCTAGTTTTGCTGTCCTGCCCTATATCAAGGAACTGACCCCTAAGCTGATCAGATTGTGCAGTCCTTTGAACTTTCGAATTGCTTGCAGATCCGTCCTCACTATAAACCGCATTTTTTCAAAAATGAAAGACAAAGTCCCGCTGCTTGGCTTAACTAACACAGTCTACTCCATCAATTGCAACAACTGCAACCAAATATACATAGGTCAGACCTCCAGATCTATTAAAGGAAGGATTACATCACACAAAAGTGATGCTAGGCTTCATCCTGAAAGATGCGCTCTAGCATCTCATGTTAACACAACAGGGCATTCTATGAATTACACAAGTATCAAAGTTCTTGATAAAGAAAAACACCTTTCCAAACGTTTATTCCTGGAAATGTCCCACATTTTCATGAATAAAAACTGTATCAACAAAAAGACAGATATTAAACAACTGAGTGTCATTTACTCATATTTGCTAAACTGCGAAAAATTGGAGAACTTGCATATCTCCCCAAATTTCGACATTTCACAACCATAAATATAATCTGTGTTTTGGCCGATTCCACCAACAAATTTCATTCCACTCAAAATCTAATAATTCTCTTCTCACGATTTACTAATAATCGTTAATTTAAAATTCCCATTAATTAAAATATAATTTATTCAACTGCCTCTGGTCGGTTTAACAATTTCTTACATAACATTCTGAAAATCACATCATCTGAAGTGATTTGGCAACGTTTTGGCACACGCCCACAATTCGTTCCATCTTTCAACACAGACATTGACAACCTTCGGCCTTCTGTCAAAGGTTCATCTCACTCATTATTCCATGACCACCATTTTGTGCAATCATCAAGTGGCTTCACGACGTAATGCTCTTATGTTTTCTAAATAATTTTTAATCTGTCTTTAACTTGTCTTGTCATATTTTATATAATTTTAACCATTGTACCATGTATCCAGCTCTCACCATGTTACTGGACGTTTCCCTCATCCTATACGAAAACAACAATTAGCAACATCCTCACATACTACTGTAAGTTGATTCAATTTAAATTCATTTTACACTTTTGTTGCTACTGTTATCATTGTAATTGCAGCTCCTGATGATGATGGCAAAGTCCATTGAAAGCTAGAGAGAATTAAAAAAAGTATAAAGAGTCCTCTTTGCTTAAATTTTGTCGAAGTACCCAACAAAAGGCGGAAGCTTTAATTTTTCACCTATATATATATAATTAATATATATACATATATATATATTAAAATTTTACACAATCTAACACAGTTTTTGATTCTACTTTTAGTTAGGTATATTTATTTTTGCCACGATAAATTTCAAGTATTTAGTTAAAGTAATTTTATTCTTAGCAGTATTTAAATGTACAACATTCTAAATAGGTAGCGTACATATGAAAAAACGGAAGTAGGAAGAACAAACTCCGCATTGAAAATTTTACTATGTCGTCTTGTAGAGAAGAAAAAGTGGCAGTAACAATATGCAATTTATTTTGAAATCACATCTCAAATATAGTCAGGAAAAAATAAAAATGGTTCTGTAATATATCTGGTATATGAAGCAAATGACTATCTGATTTCAATGCCTACCTAGGAAATTCTCTTTTTTGAAACAACCAAGGTTCGACAATATCAATGTATCACACGTTATACATTTTTGAAATTAGAATTGAAAGCCCTATTCATCTGTGCAAAAGTCGGATATAACGTAGCGTCCATAAGAAAAAAAAGTTGATGTTGAAAAACAATAGACGAGGCGTCATATTGAAATTCTGATTATGCCATGTTGTAGAGGAGAAAAAGCTAGCGATATTAATTTGCAATTTGTTTTAAAATTCCACTACAAATAAAGTCAGAAAAAATTGAAATCATTTTGGAAATATTCTGTTTTTTCCACGACTCTCCGGAAGTAGTTTGAATTTTGAATCTATTTAAGCGGTGGATACCGCATTGCCGCCACTTAAGCGACTTTGTATCTCTTACCGAGATCTCAATGGTGAGGGTCAAATTTGCAAACAATAAACTCTGATACCCTTTTTCTTGGAAACCAGGAACATGTCTATATGAACGTTTTCTTGCTACAGGAATCCACTTGGGAAAGACCCTGTATATTCATATTTAAAAAAATCATCTTGACCTTGAAATGATCAGATGATTAGATTTTAATTTGGGTCATAGTTTTCGCTGCATCCGGACTTCTTGAACAACCTGTATACCTTTTCATATGATCTCTAAATGGATTTTCATGAAACCACAATCATAACATGGAACTTTATTGTCTGCTTAATTTTCTCAAATATCTCGAGTGCCCGATTTTTTTTACAACTATTGTCGGTTGATTGTCCAAGTCGCTTAACCATGCGATCAATAGATAATTATTCTTTCCAGATTCTGGAACAAACATGGCACGACCGAAAGTAAAATTAAATGAGGATCCATACTATGGGCCGCTAATCAACGACTATATCACCAAAATCATTAAATCCGGATTTTTGTTGGATGAAGATATGGAATGCATTCTGGACGAATTTACATCTATCGATCCACCTCCATCGCAGAGACACGAAATTCCTAAAAAAACTGCTACTCAGCTTTTCGTCACTGTTACTGTCAGGTCTTTTAGCTAAAAACTATTCACCATGGGTTCTTGTACCGTCTTTAGTTGCCACTACAGTAGCGACCGGATATGAAGTTTCACGGTATATTACTAAAACTAAGCAACCGCAGCTCATAGACAAACTAATAGAAGCGGTTCAGAAAAAACTCGAATTGCACAGTCACATATTAAAGTTCATGAAACTGAGAAATCAAATGATGAAGAATCAAACGTTTACAGATATGTTGCCTGGCCGCAAGCTGAGAGACTTCGTAGATACATTTCATGAAAACCAAGGCACCTATATCAAGGCCCTTTTGAAGCATATACAAACCATATCATTTTTCTGTGACGAAATATCTGAGGATTACGCACAAATTGAAGATTTAGATCTGTCCAAACAAACTGCAGACAACGATCTTCAGTATTATCTTTACGTGAACAATCTACAGATATTACTTCATTCAAAAGTATTGAGCTACGTAGGTGTAACTCTTGGCTCAAAGTATACAAAGCTTTCCAAAGACACGGTTGAAGTTTTTTTAAACAAGAGAATTCCACGAATCATCGAACTCATCTTACGGAACTACAATGAGACCAAAAAAGCGTTTGATCGTCTTAAAAGATCTGCTATGTATTATGCTGAGTATAAAGAAAGACCCAGGAGTGAAAATAAGTACCTCCATTCCAAGTTGAAGAGTGCTCTCACAGATGCTGTCAACAACATCTCGATCTTGCTTGATAAATCGCAAATCATCTTAGACAGGTTAGGTGATGGAGCGATAAATGCATTAGAGGATTCTATGAAAGACCTCAGAGCTCATTCTTTGGCTACCCACGAGTCTATTGATCTTTTATGTAGACTACATGGTATTGTTACTAATGCTCAACCTGCGTCAGATGCCGAACCACCTAAACATCTTACGGTCAACAAGACATATGAAGAAAGAATTTGTGGTAACATACGTTATGACGATATAGTTCAACCTGAAGAAGGGAGATATATGATTTATGTAGACAAAGATCCTGAAGAAGAAATATCCAGAACTGCAAGAAACGATGTGGATGAGACGGTAGGGGCATTTTGCAGATTAACGCTGGAGGAGCTCCGAAGATCGTTAATGCAAAACGGAACGTTTATGGAAGCAAGAAAACGACGATTCAGTAATGAAAGTAGTGAAGAATTCAATGCGGATTCACCTCCAAAACCAGAATTATCACCAAGATTCGATTTGGAAACTACAGATGTTCACGAAGAGCCCGAAGCCAAATCAAGCTCAGTTAACAATGAAGACGTTTATAGTGGTAAACCCCCTGTACCTTTACCAAGGTCTGCGATGAAGGCGACAAGATATTTAGATCAATTTTTTATGAAGGATATGCCTCCACCTCCTCCTATGCCTACGTTTAACCTGGGTAGGGGATATGAAGAACATGGAGGCTATGGAAACAAATCCATGCTGGAGGAGATAATGACGTTATCGAAACAAAGAGATGTCAAAGAAGAAGTGTTTGTAGTTTCGGATAGATTCTGACTAAAATCTAGTCATAGAAATTTTTTATGCAATTTTAAATACAATTTTAAAATAAACGATACTATATTTTTAGAGCTTTTTTGTATTATTGAATAAAAACGCGTGAAGACTTACTTAATTCAGCAGTTAATCATTTCGAGATGTAGTATCAAAAGTTTGATGCACTATTGAATCGAATACGGTTTCATAATTTTGTCAAGAACCCACGCCGCGGATATCGCGAATTATTTCAAAAAATTTGAGTTCTTATCAAGTGTATTTCATATCAAACGAATAACGATTTAGAGCACAGCAAATTCTACATACAGGGTGGCGCATCGAAAGCGAAACAGACGCGTTTACTGCCAGCTCAGCTTTTTTTTTTTTTTGGGAAAAACGCTCAGACCCGCCGATTTTGTTTTCGAGGGGGACACAAGTTTGGCAAAAAATCACGTTAACACGTGCAGCCCCCTGGGCGAATTGAAAGACCTTTAAAATAAGGTATCACTCGACCCTCTTTCCATTTAAGGTTTTGGGGGTGGTGTCACCCCCGCTTAGAGGGCTGCACGTGCTAACGTGATTTTTTGCCAGACTTGTGTTCCCCTCGAAAACAAAATCGACGGGTCTGAGCGTTTTTCAAAAAAAAACTGAGCTGCCATTAAATGCGTCTGTTTCGATTTCGATGCGCCACCCTATATATTGTAATTCCCGAGCAGTATTCGCGAACATCCACAACTGCCCATCCTCCCAAATAATTTAAACTTTCGTATTCCACAGATTCCAAAGTATAACTTCGGGGTAATTCTCTTGGCCACAAATACATTGTAACAACTCGTTTTCACGGATCATAAAAAAGTTGTTATGACAAGCCGTATTCGCCTTTTGCCCGAGCTGAGAAATAATTCAGTGTGTTCCTCGGTCATATAAGAAAACAAAAGTGACTGAAATCCTAGAACAGATATGAGAAAAATTGCTATGTTTATAGGGTAAATTGTAGCATCCACCATCTTCTTTAAAATAATTGATTTGAGTCTAATGATGATTTGAAGTAACCTTGTTATATGTTTCCATCAAAATGCACGCTATTATCTGATACAAAAAAGCTATTATCAGCACAAAATTGTACCGGCAAACATATCGCGAGCTACATGGAGTGTGGTAGCATATTAACAGGTAATAAACAGCAATCACAAAATATTTCAGATAGAGATAGACTGGTACTTTTAAAAAGCTCTGAAGAGATTGCAGATAAGACGAACTTAAACTTTAGAAGGATTTTCCGAAATCTATTGCGGAAAAAATAATAAGAACAACCAATTTTAGTAATTTAAGTGTCTAGGTCAGGAATATCATGATTTACTTTTGTATCCTTTTACCAATAAGGAGTTTTACGAGTTGATACGAGTACATACGAAGTTAAACAATAAAATGTCATCTGGAGTTGATGAAATTACGCACTTTATAGTAAAAAGAGCATTAATACATATATATATATATATTTTGCTGGGTACTTCGACAAAATTTAAGCAAAGAGGATTATTTATACTTTTTTTAATTCTCTCTAGCTTTCAATGGACTTTGCCATCATCATCAGGAGCTGCAATTACAATGATAACAGTAGCAACAAAGGTGTAAAATGAATTTAAATTGAATCAACTTACAGTAGTATGTGAGGATGTTGCTAATTGTTGTTTTCGTATAGGATGAGGGAAACGTCCAGTAACATGGTGAGAGCTGGATACATGGTACAATGGTTAAAATTATATAAAATATGACAAGACAAGTTAAAGACAGATTAAAAATTATTTAAAAAACATTAGAGCATTACGTCGTGAAGCCACTTGATGATTGCACAAAATGGTGGTCATGGAATAATGAGTGAGATGAACCTTTGACAGAAGGCCGAAGGTTGTCAATGTCTGTGTTGAAAGATGTAACGAATTGTGGGCGTGTGCCAAAGCGTTGCCAAATCACTTCAGATGATGTGATTTTCAGAATGTTATGTAAGAAATTGTTAAACCGACCAGAGGCAGTTGAATAAACTATATTTTAATTAATGAGAATTTTAAATTAATAATTATTAATAAATCGTGAGAAGAGAATTATTAGATTTTGAGTGGAATGAAATTTGCTGGTGGAATCGGCCAAAACACAGATTATATTTATGGTTGTGAAAAGTCGAAATTTGGGGAGATATGTAAGTTCTCCAATTTTTCGCAGTTTAGCAAATATGAGTAAATGACACTCAGTTGTTTAATATCTGTCTTTTTGTTGATACAGTTGTTATTCATGAAAATGTGGACATTTCCAGGAATAAACGTTTGGAAAGGTGTTTTTCTTTATCAAGAACTTTGATATTTGTGTAATTCATAGAATGCCCTGTTGTGTTAACATGAGATGCTAGAGCGCATCTTTCAGGATGAAGCCTGTCGAAGTACCCAACAAAAGGCGGAAGCTTTAATTTTTCACCTAACTGGTCTAGACGACAATGACCACGTCTCAAGATATATATATATATATATACATATATAACCAAACCATTTGCTTTCTTAATGAATTTATCTTTTGTAATGGTAAGTTTTCTGATGTGTTGAACAAAGGCAAAGTTGTGCCAATACTAAAGAGGGGACCCAGCCGATATGAATAATAACAAGCCAGTAACTGTACCTTTATGCTTTTCAAAGATATTGAATACTGATTTTCAGAAAGATTACTATCAAACATTGTCAAGAATGTACGCATGTACTAACTGATGAACAACATAACATGGTTTCTGTAATAATAAATCGACCACCACAGTGATATATTTTCCATTATAACGAAAACTAATTTATCTGATTGAGGCTGCCGAGTATCCTGTTGGGATCTTTTGTGATCTCAGCAGGGCATTTGGCTGCGTCGATCATGAATTATTGTTGAAAAAAGCTACATGGTTACGGAATTACTGGCAGTTATCCCACATAAATAATATCTTTTTTGGAAAATAGGTCACAATATGCTTCTTCATTACACAGTTATGGTACAGAAATAAAGCAAGTCCGGTAATCATGCGTTGATATTGATATGGGAGTTCCACAAGGATCTATATTGGGGCCTCTTTCATTTATACTGTATATAAATGATCTGGGTGAACTGTTTAATGGCCATGTAAATTTTACTTTGTTTGCAGACGATGCCTCAATTATAATCTCAGAACCTCACGATAACGTATTGGTCACTAAATTTAATAACATTTTGAAGCATAAGGAAAAATGGTTTGCACAAAAACAATTATTTTGAAACTCGGAGAAGACTGCTGTGGTAAGATTTCTCAATGTATAGAAGAAGTTAGATGACATGCATACAGATCAAGTTCCATGACGACACAAAGTTTTTGGAAGTATATTTAGATGAATATTTAAATTCCAAAGTACATTGCAAGTATACTAAGTGACATATAAATCCGAACACCCAGTTTAAATGGTTTTATTTTAATAAAATTTTGTATAAGTACTTAATGAAGCATAATAAGTAAATGATAAAAATTGTGATGTGCTACGCATTCTCCAACGCGCCTAGGCATGCTTCTGATCAGGTGGTTAATGTCGTCCTGTGGTATCTCATTCCAGGCAACCACCAACTTCTCTCGAAGTGCTTCTAGGGTCTGAGGAGGACGTTGCAAATTGAGCAATCTCCTACGCATCATATCCCACACGTGCTCAATTGGGGATAAGTCGGTAGATCTTGGTGGCCATGGTAACAATGTGACATCATTATGTTGAAAGAAGTCTATTGTGACTCTTGCAACATGTGGTCGGGCATTATCTTGTTGGAAAGTTGGATCTGCAGGGTGTCAAGGTAGGGTAAAAGATGGGGTTCTATAACTTCGTGGATATAACGCTGCGCGTTCATGTTACCTCTGATGAAGATTTAAGGTGACCTGGAACCATAAGCTATAGCACCCCAAACCATAACTCCAACAGTGTGATGAACATGTCTTTCAACAAAAAACTGTGGATTCCTCCTTTCACCACGTCGCCTTCTAACCCTGGCACGACCATCGTGCATGCCTAAACAAAATCGAGACTCGTCACTAAAGACAATACTGTTCCATTCCTGATCCCAGAGTGACCGTTGTCTGCACCACTCAAGGCAATTACGTCGGTGTTCTCGAGTTAAAGGGAGGACCCAGTGTGGCCGGTATGAAAACAAGCCAAAACTTCTCATTCGTCGGTAAACACTTTGCATGCCAATAGGTCTTGCGTGTTCTGCAAACCATTCATTTGCAATGGACCTGGTAGCGGAGAAACGGTCCCTTAAGGCCAATAATCTTAGGCGGCGATATTCACGGTCTGTTGTTCTACGGCGGCGTCCAGTGCCCCTTGCTCTTTGCGTACGGCCTTCTCGAAGCCATGCCTGACAACACCTAACCACAGTGTCTACACTTCTTTGCACTCTAACTGCAATTGCCCGAAAAGAAAGTCCATCTTCCCGAAGTCCCACTATACGGCCCCTATCAAACTCACAAGTTGACGAAATCGTACAGGTCTCGGTACTCTAGGCATCGTAACCGATCGTAAAGGATGTCAAGAACCAAAATCCGCCAACGTTGATTCTTTACTGCGGCTGAAATATTCATTCTTAGAGCGTTAGTGAATAAAAAAAAAGCAGTATAAAAACCGGAATGTCCAACTGATAAGGCTGAAATTTTTTCACTTGTTATTTACAGTAAGATAAATACATTCACCAACTTTTATTAAAATAAAAACATTTAAACTGGGTGTTCGGATTTATATGTCACTTAGTATATATGATGTCAGTTTTAATTCACTTTCATACATTTATAAAAATATACGAATAGTTCTAAATGAAGATCAACTTATCAGTCTATACTATCCATAGGCTGAATCCAGGCTGAAGTACGGCCTTTGCTTTACTTTAACAGTTTCTTTTATTCTGGATAATTTAAAATCTTAAAGAAGGCTTTTACTCTTGAAACATTCCCATCATATTCAAGTTTTAAACCACACTTCCCACATATC